CTGAAGCAAGTTTAAACTCTCCAAATTTCAGGTTATTCATCTATGTAATGGAGGTAAACGATAATATCTTATGAGTCTCAAATGAGATACTAATAATGAATATTTATTGAACTAAGACTTGTTATCTGCTGGGCACCGAGCGGAGTAGTTTGTTTATACTAACTCTCTTGATCGTCCCAATAAGCTTATGAGGAGAGAACTCATTTTGATGAGAAAACTGAGGCACAGAGAGGTTAAATTATACAGATATTTGGCTGCTGAATGGCAATTTGAACCCCAGACCTTCACCATGACATGGTCCTACCTTGTAAATCACAAAGCCCTACGTGTTGAAATTGCTGAGGGGACCAGAATGGGAACAATGCTGGGTGACTGAGGGCTGCATGTGCTTAGCTAGAAAAATGGTCCTCTAAGGGAAGGTCTGGGGACAGAACTGTCCTAGTTTGAGTGGATTTTTGAGTGATGTGGGCCACTGGTCATCAGTTTCATCTTACTCAAGGGTTAGATGATCAGAACAGCTCATAAGTTAAACATGGGAGCTGGAGAAGGAGACCATAGAGATAAAGGGGACCCTACAGAGCCTGCAATCCCATGGCTTCATTTTAAAAAATCAGCCATTTTTGTGATGAGTGTGTAAATTTTTATTGAAGTACAACATACTTACAGAAAATTGCTCAAATTATTAAGTAAACACTCCATGAATTTTCAAAGTAAATACACCCATGTAATCAGCACCCGGATCAAGAAACAGAACATCACCAGCTCCAGTAGCCTCTCTCATACCTTCCCCCATCCCTGTTCTAGTCACTACCCCTCCCAAACCTAATCATTTTCATGACTCTAACATCAGAGACTAGTTTTGCCTGTTTTTTGAGCCTTATATGAATAGAATGATACAGCATATGCTCTTTTGTGTCTGAATTTTTTTTCACTCAACATTATGCTGTGAAGGACATTCCTATTGCTTCTGGAGTTGCAAACTGTTCATTCTCATCTCTGTATAACATTACATTGTGTGACTATCCCAATTTACCTATCAATTCAACTGTTAATAGGCATTTGAATGGTGCTGCTATGAATCTTCTAGAACATGTATACAGGTACACAAATGTACTCATTCTGTTGGGTATAACCTAGGTTGAAGCTGTCGATCATGAGATAAGTGGGATGTTCAGTTAGTAGGAACTACCTTGGTTTCACTTTATTGATGATGGAAATGAAAGTACAGAAAGGACAGATATTTGTCCAAGGTCATCTAGCCACTGAGCTAGGACTGGAATCTGAGTTATTCTCTCCCAGGACAGTTTGCTTAGGTATACATTTCGAAGAGAGACTGGCCTAGAGAGTCAGCAGAGTCTCACAGCAACACACATGTAACTTATGAGGCTGTCCTTATCATGTAACGCCTGGGTAAGATGAAACCAATGACCAAGCATGAGAGGGGCAGCTGGTCAGTGGGGCCATGATTGTAAATATCAATTTAGATTAGAGGGAGCTGGTGCAGGTTCTCCTTTGCATCTTATCAATGAACAGCCTGCAGTGTGTGTCCCTGATTAAGCTAGATTTAGATTCTGTCTTCTTCAATGCCAGGCCCCATGAAAGGTGCTTTCCAATATATTATGTCATTTAACCTTTGAACAAACACCCGATCAATTCATATCCATAAGGACTATAAAAGCATAATATCAAAAGAGAGTGTATAAAAATCTGTAAGCAAACCAGAGCAAGTTAGAACAGTGCTTTTCAAACGATCTATGGTGAAGGTCCAATCCATCGCAGATCAATATTTTTGTAAAATACAATAAAAAAGAATAAATATAAAATTGCACTGTTAAATTGTATAAAAGTTTCTAAACACTCTAGTTTCTATATTTAGATCATCAAGGACTAACAGCAGTTTGCAGACAATACTGGTTTTCAGGCTACACTTTGAATAGCACTGATTTATAATTCAACATCCATTCCACTTGGCCTTTCAAGAGAGATTGATAATTATCTAAGAGGCAGAAAAGTTTGAATAACAAGACATCTGCATAATTCTGAGACCTTAGAATCCATTCATACCCATATAGGTTACTGTCACCTTAACGGGACTTTACCAGTCCCCTGTCTTTAACAACATAACTTCAACTATTCAAAAAAAACTCTTGCGAGCTTCCTTGGTGGCGCAGTGGTTGAGCGTTTGCCTGCTGATGCAGAGAACACAGGTTCATTTCCCGGTCCGGGAAGATCCCACATGCCGCGGAGCGGCTGGGCCCGTGAGCCATGGCGGCTGAGCCTGCGCGTCCGGAGCCTGTGCTCCGCAACAGGAGAGACCACAACAGTGAGAGGCCCACGTACCACAAAAAAAAAAAAAAAAAAAAAAAACTCTTGCGTAGAAAGATGAAAGTTACAAATAACTTTATTGTTCAAGAACTTCCCCCCCCAAATCTCATTGAAATGAACATAAAACACTTAAACTTTTCAATAGATAACATTAAAGACTATTTACCCTCCAAGACTCTTTGAAAATCTTGCCTTGTGTCCACCAATCCTAACCTAGTATATTACAATCCTTAGCCAAAGTTAATCAAGCACTATCCCCACTGAAAGACCTGCCTTAAACCAGATTCCAAAACCTTATAAATAACCCTGCTGTGCTCTCCCCTAGTCCAAGATGCTGCTAAGACCCTGCCGAGGCAGGACTCTCCTTACCATGGTGTACAATAAACTCAGCTTTGCCTTCTCGACACCTTATTTTGCTGGTAGCTCCTGGGAGCTAGCATCCAACAATCAAGCCTTTGTTTGTTCCTGCATTTAGTCTTGCTCAGTCATTTTCAAACTTTAGTGTGCATAAAAATTACCAAAGAGGATTGTAGATGCAAAAGCATGCGTGGGCAGTTTAAGAGATCTCCATGTATAAATTTGACCATGTCGTATTTAGAACCTAAGCCCTGCATGCGGAGATCAGCAACTGGTGAAGAATAGAGAACCACAGAACGTTAGAGCTGGAAGTGGTTCTAGGTGCCCGAACATCAGTGCATGAATCAGCTACATCAAAATCACCTGATGTAATTAATCCCTGTTAAAAAATACCTATCCCTTGGTTTCACTTCAGATGTACTGAATCAGAATTTCTAGAGACTGGGCCCATGAATGTAACAAACTGTCTAAGGGATTGTGAAGCACAGTCAGGTTTGAGAACCATTATGTTCTCCCACCACTTCATTCTGTAGATGAAGAAACAGAGACTCAGAAATGGGAGTAAACTTGTCCAAGATCACACAGCTCAATCACACAGCTATTGAGCTGTGTGTCTCATGATTCCCAGATAAGAGCTCCGAGGGTGGAGATCAGATTTTGGACATATCCTTATGTATAAAATATCCTGAACAAGAATTATGAATGACGTAATCAAAACAGGATCCTACTTTGACATTTCAACATGTCTTTAAGGTTTATCAGGGTGGTGGTGCGGGAGCGGGTGGTTATTGTAATCTCCCGCATGAAAATTCTAGCAGTCATTGTGAGTTCTCTGCTTTCTACTAGGTAAGAGGAAACAGCTAAAGCATAACTTTCAAAAAAGGTAAAATTACGACTCTTAAGCAAAGACAAGATGAACACATATCTGCTGAGAATCTATTGACCACCTTGTTAAATTTATGTTCTCAGGAATCGTTGCTTGTTAGTTGGCTGACTGGCTCAAGTAAAGGTGGATGGGTTATTACAAGGCTTTAGGAACATGTCCTCGGAAGGAAGCACAGATGGCCCTCCTGAGAACTACAGGTAGGCCCTCAGAAGAGGTTCTAGGTCCAGGCAGCTACTCCCATGGTTTTTCATTACTCAGACTACAAGGCTTCTTGAGCACACTTCGTTGCTCCATTGTTTTGTTTCTCTACTCATCTGCAGGCCTGTGGCTAAAAATGGACGCCCCCAGTCTTGAGTCTGCATTATCATCACTAAGTGCTGGACTTCTGACAACTGTCTCTAGCTTAGATCCTTGATGGAGACTATCTGATTGGCTGCTCTCCAGTCAAGCATTAGGGCCCTTTGGGTCAGGTGATCACTCAGGGTCAATCAGCTGTAGCTACTTGGAGGAAACACAATTGCCAAGGGGTTGTGTGAGTGAGTGTGTGTGTGTGTGTGTGTGTGTGTGTGTGTGTGTGAAAAGGAGATAGACCCCGGAGACAGCCAGGGTAGCCCAAGTGAGAACCTCAAGTGGCCAAGCACAGTAAAATGTGCCTTTTAATCCTTTCCAGCATGAGTCCTTGAAATGCTGGCTTTTGTGCCACTCCCCTGTCACTCTGTTGCTTTTATTTAAGGCAAGATAAGTTGGGGGCGGGGGAGGGGTGGAGAGGCGGTTCTCACAGGAGCCGATGGCCATACCTTCCCATTCATGTTTCCACCTACATTTAGGATCCTCCTTTGTACAAGCCATTGAGCTGCTAGAAACACAGATGTCTCTAGGTGTTGGCCTGTACTCATGAACTTCAAACTTCTCACTCTTGGTTGGGGGTGAAGAGGAGGTTGACAGTCATGGATAAGTGCAGGAACAGCTGGATGTGTCCAGCTGGTGGGGCCCGAACACATTTTGGTTCCCTCTATTTCTTCCTGAGCAGGCTCACCCTCTTTCATGGGCACAAGACACGGGCCTAATAACTACAGTTAGAAATGCAGGGGAGGAGCGAGCTCCTCACCCAGCAGCCGGGCCAAATCAGCAGGAGACAGAGTAGCAGGTGGGTTCAGTTCAGCAGTCACTGAACCCTGGGTTGGAGCGAGGAACTCGGCTGAGTGCGGAGCCGGGGCAAGTACGGCCTCCAGGCTCCAGGGCTCCCAGGCTGAGAGGGTCACACACACCGAAGCAGGTAAGGCCGCACGTCCTGCAAGGGGCAGATCTGGGGCATCCTCCCTGCTCCGGGCAGCAGCGGGGCGCGGGCCCCGAGCGCGCAGCTCCTTTCAGGGCGGAGGGCGGCGCGAGGGAGGGAGAGAGGGAAGGGAAAGGCGAGCGTGAGCTGCCTCAAATGCTTGGAATAATTCCGCTTCCGTTTGCAAAGCCGCAGCCTCAGACCCGCCGCGCACGCCGCGTCCGCCCGGCGCCCGCTCAGAGTCCCGACCGGCCCGCGGCTGCCCGCTTCGTCGCCATGGCCACCTCCCCGCAGAAGTCGCCGTCTGTCCCCAAGTCCCCCACTCCCAAGTCGCCCCCGTCCCGGAAGAAAGATGACTCCTTCTTGGGGAAACTCGGAGGAACTCTGGCCCGGAGGAAGAAAGCCAAGGAGGGTGAGTGCGGCCCGGGCCGGCGAGCTGCCGGGCGGGGGGCCGAGGGGCCCGGGCTCCTCGGGCAGGGCGGGAGCGCGCCGCAGGTGCCCGGCGCCGGGGAGGGGGGCGCGCGGCGGTGCGGGCGCGCGCTGCCCGGGAATGTCTCACGGGGCCGGGCCTCGCCGCAGCCCTGCTCTGGGTCGCTCGGGCGCTGCCCTCCTGGGCCCCGCGGCGATCGGGTGTGGCGACTCGGGCCTGGAACCAGGAGACGCCCGCGCTGGGCCGGGGGCCGAGGAGGCGGCCGGGCCCGCCAGCCCGGAGGCGGCGTCCTCCCCTGGGCCCCAAGTCCCCGCCTTCTCCGCGCCGAAGGCTGGCAGTTTCCAAGTTTCTTCTGAAACTTTAATGGGCGCCGTCATTCTCACTTTTTGCCTTTATTGGTCTTTGAAATCAGATCATTTCCTAGACCTGCTGAAGTGTACGGTAGCAGCCTTGGCCTCTGGATCTCTCGTCCGTCCCCAGGGCCCAGCAGGGCTCTATTAATGTGTAGATCAACACCAAATGTTTGTCGAACGAATGAGTGGAGAGGTGGCTGTCCTAGCGGTCCCGCCTTGTGATAAATGATAAACTCACACCCAAGGAGAAAACCTCGATTAGACACACAGACTTGTAGCATCCTGGGATCTGATCTGACCCTTCTGTGAACTCAAGAGTTAAGGGCTCTCGCAAAAACCATTTCCTTTTTCTCACCAGGGTGAATTGAGGTGATCTTATTTTTTTCCAGGACAGTTTACATGTAAAATATTTTGTCCCATGGGCAGATTTTGCATCCTTTTTTTAAAAATTGAAGTATAGTTGATTTACAATATTGTGCTTGTTTCAGGTGTGCAGCATAGCGATTCCATATTTTTTGCAGATTATTACAAGATAATGGGTATAATTCCCTGTGCTATACAGTATATCCTTGTTGCTTATCTACTTTATATATAATAGTTTGTATCTGTAATCTCACACCCCTAACTTGTCCCTCCCCTCTTCTGTCTTTCCTTTGATAACCACAAGTTTGTTTTCTATGTCTGTGAGTCTGTTTCTGTTTTGCATATACATTCATTTGTATTATTTTTTAGATTCCACATATAAGTGATATCATATAGTATTTGCCTTTGTCTGGCTTAATTCGCTAAGCCTAATATTCTCTACGTCCATCCATGTTGCTGCAAATGGCAGTGTTTCATTCTTTTTTATGGCTGAGTAACATTCCACTGTATGTGTGTGTGTGTGTGTGTGTGTGTGTGTGTGTGTGTGTGTGTGTGTGTATATATATATATATATATATATATACACCACATCTATTTTTTTTAAACATCTTTATTGGAGTATAGTTGCTTTACAATGTTGTGTTAGTTTCTGCTGTATAACAAAGTGAATCAGCTGTATGTATACATATATCCCCATATCTCCTCCCTCTTGTGTCTCCCTCCCACCCTCCCTATCCCACCCCTCTAGGTGGTCACAAAGCACTGAGCTGATCTCCCTGTGCTATGTGGCTGCTTCCCACTAGCTATCGATTTTACATTTGGTAGTGTATATATGTCAGTGGTACTCTCTCACTTTGTCCCATCTTACCCTTCCCCCTCCCCGTGTCCTCAAGTGCATTCTCTACATCTGCATTTTTATTCCTGTCCTGCCCCTAGGTTCATCAGAACCATTTTTTCTTTTTTTTAGATTCCATATATATGTGTTAGCATATGGTATTTGTTTTTCTCTTACACCACATCCTATTAATTCCGTCATCTTTTGATAGGCACTTGGGTTGCTTCCACATCTTGGCTATGTAAATAGTGCTGCTATGAACATTGGGGTACATGTATCTTTTTGAATTAGAGTTTTCATCTTTTCCAGATATATACCCAGGAGTGGAATTGCTGGGTCATATGGTAGTTCTATTTTTAGCGTTTTAAGGAACCTCCATACTGTTTTCCAAAGTGGCTGCACCAATTTACATTCCTACCAACAGTAGACAAGGGTTCCCTTTTCTTCACATCCTCTCCACCATTTATTTGTAGCATCCTGATTTTTATTTTGACTAATGAGGTGACAGTCGGAAAAAGGGCTAGTGGCTGGTGTGTAGGTAGAAGATGCTTAGTTAAAAAATTTTTTTATTTTCATAGACTTCAGTGGTTTGGGAATAAACATTTTTATGTTTGTGATGATGGTATGTAAAATAAGTTTCATGTTCCTGAGTTATCTTAAAGCATGAAAAAGAACTCAGTGTTGAGAATTATCAAGTCTGATACAAAGAACTAGACTTCTATTCTCTATATTGAATTGAGAAGCAGCAAAACATATCCCCAAAAATGTCCCTGCCCTCCCCCCAGTGTGCTTAATTTGGAAAACCGTTGTGTGAGTAGTGTGTAACATATTGGTAACATATTGTGAAATCCTGGTTTGGAGAGTCTTTTGCTAGGTATCCCTGTAACTTTTTCCTACAGTGTTCCCGATATGGGCTCTCCAGCTTGAGACTGGGCAACTGAGAATTACTGAAGCTCATGACCTACCAGATGTGCTCACCCCACTTTGCCAGCTCTTTAGAAAAGTTTACTCTATATTGAGCTCAAAGGTGGTCTCTCTGTATGTACTACTATTCTGTTCATGCAGCCGGGAGAACGAGTGGGATGGTGGCTCTTCACTTTCTCCAAGTGGACCAGCCTGTTTTGTGGAGCCCCTTGATCAGTCCAAACATCCTCTGTTCCAGTAGCTGGTCCTCACAGATGAGCTTCGTGGCCCCCTGGTATCCTATCTTTTCAGTTTCAGTCAGGGTCCCTGCAAGAAACAGAAGGGCACATTAGTTGGGATTTTAAAAATAATGTGGTGAAGGGACTGTTTACAGAGATGTGGGCAGGGTGAAGAGAACCCAGAAGGATGCTGAGACACCTAGGAGCTACCACCAAGGGGAAGCCATTACCACCCCTAGGCCTGAAGGGCCAGGGGAGCAAACCGCAACCCACTGAGAGCTGGAGCTATGGAAGGGGCGCTGCCTGTAGAGGGACACAGCCACTGTCGGAAATGTGGAGATGGAGCAGGGAGACAGTGGTGCAAGAGATACTTGCATGTTCTCTCTCTCCTTGCCCTTGAACCTCTTGCTGGTTCTTCCCATTGGCCAGACCCCGTGGGAAGTCACCAGGGCAAGGGAATCTGGGTGATGCAATACGTCGAGGTCAGCTCCCTTAGGGCGCAGAGCAGTGCAGAGAGTAGATCATAGTGGGAGTGTTGAGAAGCGGAGAATAACTAGCAGACTCTCAAAGTGAGCTGCCCAGAAGTCAACATAGTATGGTGGTAGAGTCCGGCCCATTAGGACAGGGCTGCCACCTCCTTTGTTCTAGCAGAGATACCACATTCTGTTAATGCAGCTGAGGCTGCTTTTCTTTATTCTGCCAGCAACATCACAGCTATCTCTGAGCTTGTTACCAGGTTACTCAAAGACATTTTAATGTTTGTTGCTCCTAAATCATTCCCTTCCCTATCTTGGATTGGCTCAGTTGGGTTTTTGAAACCAAGTGCAAGATCTTATTTTTATCCTTGTTATAGTACTTAACTGTTAAGTCCTGATTCTCTTATTCAGTCTATTAGCTAATCCAGGGGTTGTAAGGGGGTGAATGGAAGAGCATGTGCTTCTTCTAAAGGGATGCCGTCACCCAGCTATAGCTGCTTGCTGCTACACGGGGTGGTCCTGCAAAGCCAAAGACGGCAGTGGGGTTGGTCTGAACTGACCTGCCCTTGGCGAGCACGTGCTGGATCTCAGTGATCGGTGCTTTCCCTGTCAAGGGCCCACTAACCATCTCTCCAGTAACAATAAGGCTAGGTCTTGCTCTGGATCCGGTATAAACTCACAGCTCTGTGCTTTGCAGACTGCCTTCTTCCATGTTCCCCCTAGTGTTCTGGAACCTCCCATTCTCCATGATTCCTCAAGATCATGGACGTTGGTCTATCCACAAATTTCCCCAGTGCTTTGGCGTAGAATTCTCCTGGGCCCAAGGACTCCCATTCATTCACTTGAAACCTGTTGTGTCTCACAGTCAGATACATGTTAGAATATTTAGGTCAATAATTTCATATTAAAAGTATGTTTTCCTAAGAATACCTACTAACATATATCATAGAATGACTGGAAGTCTCATAAGAAAATAGTAAAACTAATGATCACTCCTGTGTTTCATAAGAAAAAATAGCATGAGGGAGGCAAGACAGAATAGAGGCTAAAAGCATGGTCTTTGGGACCAGACATATTTGGGCTTGATTTCTGGTCTGGCTCTTTATTTATTGCTATGACTTAGCACAAGTTCCTCAATGCTTCGAAACCTCTGTTTTTTCATCCATAAAATGGGAATAAAAATTCCTTCCTTACATGGAGGTCGTGAGGCTTAAATGAGACAAAGCATGGCACAAATAATGGAAGCTATTAAAATTGACAGCTCAGTTTTAAGTAGTCTTTAAAATTTGAAATAGTCTTTTCATCATGGACTGCAAGAAGATTCCACAGGTTCTGCAAAACGCTTCACACGACAGTATGAAGCCTGTGTAGCACGATTTTGGTCCTTTAGAAATTAGGGATCTTTCTTTGCAAGTCGGATCATCCTGCTTCCCAAAGATGTCACATTTCAGCATTTAAAAATATCTGGTCCCATTCTCATGAGTTGTAGCTAGGTAGCTTTTGTTTTTCCTCTGTGGATCTTCTCGTCTTGGGTTTCCAGTCCCCATTTATGCTGTGTAGTTCTTAGACTAGCCTTTCAGAGTCTACTTGCCAAAGGGCTGCTTTTCACCTGCCTTCCTCCAAATCTGTCCTCACGACTTGCTCTTTCCAGGAATGTCATCTTGAATTGTATCTCCCAGCTGAAGGTGCCCTAGATCAGGCCTGCAGCAATGGTTCTTCCTATATTTTAACCACTTATTTGTTATCCCTCAGAGTTTTTACATTTTGTCTGGTGCCCAAAGTGTACCATTTTGGTTCTCATTGGCTGTCCCGT